GAAGATGGCCGACTGGTTCCAAACACATAGCCACCCCCCTAATACTTAGCTAAAAAGATTAGGGCCTGGCCGACCCTGTGCCTAACAGGCGGCTACCCTCCTTTTACTTAGCACCTACGTTCACCAAGAACTTACCCAGGCCACAGGCCGAATGATCAGACCAGGCGCCAAGCCAACTGATCAAATCTTCAAAACTAATACGACCTGTCCCAACATCATAGCAGGCGTCCGGCGGCATCCCTCCGGATGAAATTCGTCGCAGAGAGCAGCTCCCTTTTGGGTGGAACATTGCTCTATAAACTAATTACACGGCACCTATACAACTGCCCCCAAGGGCAACCACGTAGCCGTTTTTGAGACAAGGATAACTCTATCACTAACCAAACCAGTGGTAGCAGTTGACATCTGAGTCAGATGACCGCCTGTATTACTTGGGATAAATGCAGGGGGTACCTCTTGAGTTAATAGCCAACAAACATTGGCGAATCAAGGGGTCTAGCCGGCCTCCGCCGCCTGGTACCTCTACTTCTCAAGCAAGAGTGACGGCGACTGAGTAACACCAACGTTAACTCATAGTCACTCCCTCAAACTTGGTATGGAACCTAAAAGGTTTGAGTAGACCGCCTGTTTTTTGGCAAACAGTGGCACTCAACCACTACTCCTGCTAGGTTAACAACTTATGAGTTAAAAGCCAACAAACATTGGCTAATAAAGGGGAACAACCGGTACCCACTGCTTGATACCTTTACTAAGTTCCTTGGCAACTAAGTAACAATCATGTTCACTTGGTCAGACCACTTTCCTACTTGGTTAAATTTACAAATGACAGGACCGCCTGCCTAAAAAGGATCCAGTCTTTAAAATAGTTCGAATACCGATTGGATAAATGGCCGACTGATCGTCTATCCTGGAAACAGACAACCAGTCGTCCAGGGGCATAGGCGGCATGACTAACTATCCGTACCTGTCTGCAACTATCGGCCAGGTAAAACAGTCAGTCTAGTGAACAATTGGATATTAGAATATTCAATACTTAGACAAATTTGAAGCAAAACAAAAATTCATTAAAAAGAAGCCGGTCATTAAAGACCGGCAAAATATTCAAAACCCCGGCCCCCTGGCCGGGTAAATACAAAACAAACGGCACGCAGGCCGTGGAAAGAATACATAAAGCTTAAGAAGGGGGCAGATCTTCAGTATTAGCAGCTGTCGCCTGGTCAGCACTCTTCTTGCTGGACTCGGCTTCAGCTGCATCCTTTTTTGATGCATTACCCCCAAGCGGCACAAGCGCCACTACTGGCTCCTCCTCCTCCAACGCCTCTTCCTCAGCAGCCGCCAGGATCTCTTGATTATATGTATCAGAACACTGGCGGTACGTTTTTTCCCAAGAGGCAAAGTCGGCATTGGGGAAGAGGCGGCCCCAAGTCATGCGCTGGATTTGAGCGGAGTCTTCCATCATCTCCCGGACCAGCTCTTTCTTCTCTTGCTCGGCCTTTTCCGAGAGCTCCTGAGTAAGACTCCTCTCCTGGGTCACCAGGCGTTCCTTTACGTTGGCCAAGGATTTCTCCAAGGCTTCGTATGAGTACATCTTTAGGCGAAGAGGTTTCAGCTCGGCCTTGAGATTGGTGATGGTCGCCTCCAGCTCGTCATTCCTCTTCTGGGCCGCCTCTAACTGAGCCCGAACAGCGGCGGTAGCCTGCGCCTGATAATAAAGGATATCAATGGTCAGAACTTCATTTTGGGCAATTTGAAACATTGCCTTATCACAGTCAGAGGCGGCCATAGCTTTTGCAGCCTTTACCTCTTTGTTCTTCCGGTCAAGCGGCTTGCGAAGGCCGTTCACTCGGAGCAGGACCTAAGTACAAAGGAACAGGCGTCAGTTTCCAAACAAAAAGAAAACAGGCGTCCTGGAATTCAAATACTCAAAAATATGCTAAGTATACCTCAGCAAGGACCCCTGCAATCCCGTCTAGGTCAAGGGTGCCGACACCCCTGACCGCCTCCCTTTCAGCTGGAGGAACGGCCCTGATCATAGACTTGGCCACTTCTACCAAGTCAGGCTCTTGAGGGTCGGCTGCATCAAGCATAAACAAACGGATTAGACCTAGTAAAAGGGGAGCAAGTCTAAAATTTACAAGGACAACTTCATACTTCTAGGCGGCCCAGTTGGAGTTTTAGAAGAAGTGGCCGGCTGTTTCTCAGCCGCCACATGTTTCCTGGCAGATCCAGGAGAGCTCGCAACAGCCGTCCTCCGGGCCTTGGGGTCCGGCTGTTGGGAAGATGAAGCTCTTGGAGCACCCGTCTAAAAAAGAAGAAAAAAGTCAGTATATGCATAAACACAACTCCAAAAAGAGGGTGAAAGGTTCGGAGCTCACCAAGGGTGCCCCCTTCTTGGGGGAGTCGGTTGAAGCTTGTTGCATGATGGAGGCCCGCAACATGGCCGCCGCAGTCTTGGAGGCGGTAATTTTGCTCATGGCGTCAGCTGCAAAAACAAACAGCAAAGTTAATAAAAGTTATAACAAGAAATGTATGGAACAACAAAGTATTCGACAGGCCGACTACCTCTTGAGCACCGACTGCTGAGGCCACAGGCGGCCAAAAAGTACTCTTCATAGAGCCATTTGAAGCTCGGGACGCAGTGCAGGGGTACTTGCTCTCGTACCCCTGAAGTAGAGTCGACCCTCGACTCTACTTTAAAGAGTCCTTTATCAAGGATCTCTTTCTTAGCCTTGGGGGGAACAGGCGGCATGCTACGGCCGCCTGCAAGAAGGGGTGGATTCCTGTTCCACCTATTGAAGCGCTTGTTCAGCTCAGTGTCTGAACTCTCAATGATGAGGAAGGTGCTCCGCCAGTCCTTCCACTTGTTTGCTTTACCTCTCGTCATGAGGTAGCCCCTGTGGCTTGTCAATTGATACCAGCCGGTACCGCCTGCCTTAGGGGTCCGGCTGAGATAGTTCATATGGGCGAAAGCCTCGAAGCTCGGCTCCACCCCGTGCAGTTCGCACCCGGCCACATAGTCGAGTACGTTGACCCAGGAGTTTGGGGCTAACTGCCATAACCCCAACTCATACCCATCCAAGATCCGCTGAACAGCCGGATGTAATGGGAAGCGCAGCCCAGCCTTGATGGCCGCCTCGTAGCAGCCAAAGCAGGCGCTATCATAACTGGTACCAGCCGGCCAGACGATTGTGTCTTCTGGATCCGGCACAAACACTAAAAAGTCGGGGCCCATTGTGTGGTTTGCGATAAAGCTCTCCACTTTCTCTTGCATGACTGTGATCCGGCCCCGAGGTACCGTGCAGTAGTAGGGGGTATTTTGCTCTCGGTAAGAGGCGGATGGCTCCGCCCAATTGTCCCCCTTCTCAACTGTGTGAGAAAGCCTCGCCTCTTGCAAGCGGCTGTTTTTCTCTTCTGTGTCCAGAGAAGCATGGCCAGAAGAGCTAGACTCGGAATCGCCCTCTGACGAGTCCGAAGAGGACGACTCCTCCCCTCTCCCGGAGGGGCCCGCCTCCTCTCTTTGAAAAGGAGCAGAATTGTTAACTGTTAAATGGGAAGGGGTCACTATGACTCCTCCCTCAGAATTGCCGGCTTTCAGGCCGCCTTGTCTCACTTCCACATCTGGCGCCTGGTCAGATGTTTCACTAATCGGCACCCTGTCGGAGGAGCCGTCTGAATTTGAGATCCTAGCAGTCTTTTTTGTTCTGGCCATCCTGCTCTGCATAGACACAGATATAGTCGGACTTTGTATAAAGGGCAAAGATGGGTCCGGAAAAGGGCAGGCGGCACTCCTAGTCTTAGATTCAGCCGTCCCCAGTGACCGGCTGATCACTAACCTAGGTCGTGTCGTGTGCTTCCGTGGTGCCATTTCAAAAAAAATAAAAAGAAAATTAAGAGTAAGAGAACCGACAGTTACCTGAACGAGTGGCGGTTGATGAAGTTCTGAAAATCCTTTGCAGTCGGCTTGTCAGAACAGGCGGTAGGCAGAAAAGGTCCAAAATGTCAGAGCAAGTTTAGGGGTCCGAATGTTCTCTCACAAAGTTCTCAAGTGTGAAAATGACTCAAGATAACTCTCCCTTATATAGGCGAAGTGAGAAGGCGAAGGGTCACTTTCAGAATTCAAAATTTGGGCGGGAAAATCTCTCGGCCTTTCGCCGACTGACACCTGTAGCAGGCCGCCGCCTGTTACAGTGCGACACCTGTCACAGGTAACACGTGACCAGTCACGTGCCACCTGTGAGGGGCAAATGATTAGGGGATTTTTGCTCCCACCAATCGGAATGCGCCACGTGGGCCAATCAGGTCCTGCCAAGTGTCCCCCAGTTGGAACTGTCAGGGCTTGCCACGTGGCACACGCTTATTCGTCCACCTTGGACCTGTTATGTCATGACACGTGGCGTACTCCATGCCTAATGGAGAAACCGGCCACCCAGGCCCAACTTCCGAGGGAAGCCCAATCAGCCCTAGGTTAACCTAAACCTAGGATTGGCGCGTTTCCCAAGGTTATAAATACCTCCCTTAATCCTCATTAAGGGAGATTACGGAAAAAACACATTGATTACACACAGAGTTACAGGCTGATTACGCTAAAAACTCACATTAAACACTCTCACCTAGAGAGACTCACTCACTCTAATTTCCGCATTAATTAATCCTTAATCAAGTACTAACTTGACCGTTGGAGGCGGAGCTCCCACCACCAGGAGTCTCCGTTGTTTTGCAGGTACAGGCGTCCGGTTCCAGTCTCGGAATTGTAACTCTCCCGCAGGACATCAGAAAACCCCGAAACACTAGGGAACTAGGAAAAAAAAAGGTTTAGGAATTCGATTTGTCCAAAAAAAAAAAAGAAAAAATAGTCAAAACCTTGTCTTCCAAGGTACAAACCATTAGATTATAGTCATAAGAAATAATTCAATACTGTATACTACAAGCTATACAGTATTTGATTTTGTTGTTTAAAAAAAAAAAAAAAAATCATTATACTAACGTAGCTACAAATAAACATGTCTTTCAATGAAGAAATGTACGAGATTATGTCATGGTTATCCACAAAACCCTTATACAGATTATTGACCATGGCAAAGTCAACACTAGAGTACCTTTCCGAAACACATTTTGCAAAGAAACAAAGCCACAACTCGTGCATGAAAGCGGAGGAGTCTTTGATCATTCAAGAAGATTCAAGTTTAAGAGAAAGAGTTCAAAAATTACGCGTTTGCTTCTTACCTGAAAATCGTTCCTACAATGATGTTCCTAAGGATTTCATCATGTTTTTAGTGGAAAAAGGTCGTATCTTAGCATCAAACAACGGTTTATTTCTATGTAGGACAATTGATTCTAGTGTACCAACTGAATTATTCCTGTGCAACCCCTCGACGAGGACTTGGTTACCTTTGAAGTTGCCTAGTGAGGAATTGGCTAAGATATTTCAAGACAATGGGGAGTTAAAAGTTGCATTAGTATGTGGTAATGTTTTTGGTAAGAAAAGTGAAAATTTTCCTTTGGATTGCACTCTATTGTTGTTTAATGAACATGATTTGGAAGATTGGAATAGCGGATATGATGTGTACATGTTAGAGGAAGGCGAATGGATACTCATAAGCGAAAACATTAAAACAAAAGGCGGAGATTTGGAGTTTGATTATCAAGTTTGTTGTGAAGATGGTTTGTATATCCTAGCAGAAGGTTGTAGTCCTCATGTGTTTCATTATGATGTCGAAAATAGGACTTCAAGGGATATAGCATTGCCCGAATACAATGAAGAATTTGGTTATTTAGATATTGGTTGTTTTCGTGTGTTTGGATGGGAGCGAAAGGAAGGCAACTCTTGGTTTGATTCCATTTGTTTGGTTAAGTGTTTCGATAACTTGATCACTATATGGGTGCTTGAGCACAACACAACATTGTCGAAAGAAAAGAAATCGAGTTCTTGGCGTTGGTTGTCGAACATACACATTGAAGATGATTTGTGCATTGAAGATTCAAGATGGACAGACAGCTTTACTATCTTGGAGAAGCAGTTGATTTTTGCTGATTTAGATGGCAATATTTATCGGTATTATTTGGAGGGCAAAGATTACGGCAACTTAGACAAAATTTACGAGTATGGTTATAGTTCTAGCTTAAAACTATGATTTAATTCCTTCTCTACAACTCTTCGCCCTTGCTCCATTGATGGGCAAAAACCGGTTAAGATTAGGTAGTTTTACTTACTACCTTCGGTCCAAATTACTCGCAACCTTGGAGTATTATTTATGAGATATAAAATATTCCAAAGTTACTACTGATTTGGACCGGAGGTAGTACAATTCTTTACCTAGGATTAAAAGAGTTACTGTTTTTTGTATTATTAGTGAACCATAAATTGTTGTTAAATATAGAAATTTTCCAAAGATTTGATTTCATTGTCAAGCGAATATTTCATAGTCAAGCTAATATTTCCCATGAGACTTATTATAAGGTAATAAAAACTCAGAAATTCTGCAAGGATAATTTCAAAGGTTTTTCATAACAGAGAAGGTGATCAATTGTTCACAATGATTTCACCAAATGTGACAATAATTTCAGATTTACAGCACATGAAGGAGTAGGGGAAGGGCGGCCAAAACTCTCGGCTGTAATACATCCTTTTTTTTTTCCAGAGAATTTGTAAGTATATAATCAACTTAAACATGAAAGGAAAGCTGTACATCTTCAGCAATCGGAAAATGAATTTACAGGTAAGCTCCTCATAATGCCGCAAAAGATTGCAAAAAGGGGAGTCAACCCATCAAGCTTCTCTATTTAGGAGGAAGCTTAAGCTTTATCTATCAGTTTCGACATCATCATCACCAGACTGCAAGTCCCTCGTTTCTGACAAAGAGAGCCTCCTGTTCTTCCCTGTGCCTGATTCAACCAGCCCTTCTGACGTCAATGTTAAGCCTGCTGCTGATGATGATCCCAGATAACGCCGCATAGCAGAGGCATCAGTAGATGTGGGAGAGACATTGTATGCAAAAATTCCCATTGGATGATCAAACTTGCAGTTTGGACCGAATTTGCATATACCATAACGAGAATAAAATATGCACAAAGGTTCTCCCTGTGAAAAAAAATAATAATGAAATACAATTAGCAATGCCGGAGCATTCAGAAAGACGGCATTCGATAGATGTTAATAATCCCACAGAGGCAGTAAAATAAACAACTTAAACAAGTTTTGTCAAATGCCAAAGGAGAGAAACTAGTGGTCAGTTGTACTCTTTCACTGCAAGGAACTTTAAACCTTATGATCTCATTGTACACATAAGGAAACTAATACAATAAGACTAGTATTCACAAATTATGAACATGGATCATTTTGAAATACCAACAACACAATCAACAAACAAAACTTCTAAAAAGAAATATACCCTTCAGTCTATAGAGTAATAAGAGTTAAAATGTCGATAGGTGTTTATTTAATTATTTAATTGAAAACACACACCTTTGTTTCTACTTGCAAATATAAAAGACCGATAACATTAGTGGCCACTCACAAGTCAGAACACACAGTCTAATCAAATATCATTTGAAGGTTTGTAACAGTCAGTGTTTTAACCCTATCTGAGAGTGGTTACTATCCCATCTCCCCTCCGTCCCCAAAAAAACAGGGGAAAGTAGAAAAAAAAAATCTCAATGGTGGATATCTAAATATTGTGAATGTCAGATAAAATTGAGGACAACAGATACAGGCTACAATCATGTTACTAGGATTCGAGAGCTCAAATCATACAAGGGTAAATTTCCAGGGTTGGATTCATTTACTTTTTAGAGATAACTTCATGTTACAGATAAAAAGAAATTTAAAAAATAAAGAAATGAAAATATCCTTGTCAAAGACTCGGAATGTCAAAGATACTTGAGGTCAGTCAAATGAAGGAATCAAGTAACATAGGGCTACAGCATAGTATTGAACACAAAGCAACAAAAAATTTATAATATTTTAAAAAATATATTTGAAATACGAGCAGTAGATTTCAAAAGAAACTTTAAAGGGGAAGTGCAACCTACCGGACGCAATGGCAAGCCCAAAGCACTCAAGAGGCAGTCGGGAGCTGGAACTAGCCTTTCTCTGGGATGATGAAACCGACAAACTGCGCCAAACTTACAATCACCAGTCTTCATGTAGTATTGACATTCGGGTTGTCCAGGCCTCTCAGGGAAAACATTGTCTCTCTGAAGCGCATAGTAACCCATAGGGATAGATCCAGTGCGATACGAAGAATATGCACCCTGAGAGGCAGCAACTGCAGATTCACTCTGGCGTGCAGTCCCATAGCCAGGACTGTTTCCTGATGTCTGCTGCTGTCCTTCAGGAGACGAGACTGAACCCATCTGACCCTAAGTAACAAAGAAGACGTGTGAAATAATACAAATAATATAAAGTTTCATGCTTTCATCAAAATTAAAAATGATATTGGCAGCTGACACTTGTAAAAAATAGATAATCTAGAAGCTTAACTATGCATCAAATGCTAATAACATGAATAATTACGAAGAATGGCAAAGGATGCTCCAACTTAGAACCCAACAACATGCTGGTCCATCACTGATTAAGCCCACCTCTGTTTGACTTATTTGACTTAATCAGACAATATAAAATCAAATTTCAAATAAACTCAGACAAAATAAGTTCAAATAAGAAAAGTTGGGAATTTGAAGACAACAAAAGTCAGATAGAACATAGCCTTATTCATTTTGACAACCTTTTTCAATTAAAATGCCAGCTATTTAGAAAAAAAAGGTTTAAATCTTACTATAATAATTATTTCTTAATCACCAAATAGTTGAAAAGGCTAGTAGCAAAGATTACCATATAGGCATTCCACCCTGGAACTGAAACAACTCCTTGTGGAAGAATCAAAGGTGTGTAGCTTGAAGGACCTTGCCAACGCGGACTAGGAATAATTGAGGCTCTAGACAAAGACCAATTTGTTAATCCTCCTGGATATGACTGCTGACCAGGAGTTGTCGGAGATTGAACAGGTGGATACACAGAAGAACCGCGGAAAGAAGCAGATGGCTGAGGGTGATGGAACTTGCATGTACTCCCAAATTTACATTGTCCGGTTCTTAAATAGTATGCACACTCAGGTTCATTCTGTTAAACAAAAAGAAAATAATAAGAAAACTATTTTAGTATGTTTCAGATCTTATAAATCAGTTTTTCAAAAATGGAAATAAAATAAAATCAAGACCATGAGTCCAAGCAATAAATTCTACCGGGCGAAGCGGGTATCCTAAGACATTTACAGGTACTCTTCCAGCAATCCCAGCTTTGTCTTTAGGATGATTAAACTTGCATGTTGCTCCAAACTTGCATGTTCCAGTCTTCAAGTAGTACTGAGAAGTTGAAGCAGCACATAAAAATTATATAAGAAGAAAAAGAAATAACATTAGGAAAGACTACACACAAAATACCCAAAGGCTTATTAAGACTTTTATATGTGAAGAAGAAAGAGAGAGGAGAGAGGAGGCACAAAAGTTATTCAACAGCAGTTTTCACTTCAGCTTGGACTTCAAAATTTTCCACCACAATAATCCACGATCATACTAGCACTTTCTCAGTTCATCATCTTCTCTGCTGCCATCAAGATATCATATATAATACTTGACTTTTCAAGAAAAGGGAAATTTTATGCTTGAAATATTCCTGTGATTCATTTATTAGAAAGATAGCATGAAGAACAACTTACAGAAATCATCCCCTTTCTTACACATCCCTAATCGAGACAAGATCTGAAAGCAAGCCACAGCATATATCTCTGTGGCTCAAAAATTGCATCTATCTAAGTTTTTCAGGTGAACAAAATGGCACATAATGTTGTATCAGGCAAACTGTTTTAAGTATTACATGCCAATGAAATAACAAGGAAACGCGTCAACAATATGTATACACCAATTGGTGACGCGTTCAGTGACACAAATCTGTCCATGGTTTTTGAAAAAAAAAAAAGGATCACGTAACACACAAACAGACTAATCACTCCTAACAATCTCATATTGAACTCATCCAATCCATTCCAATGAGCAAATATTCATGTCAGTTTCTTGGGACCTCCTACTGTCCAGCCTAGATCTCACATCTGGAGACCTCCAAGTATTCATATATTTCACACATTGAATCTCTATTTTTGGGGCAAGTGAGAATTCTTCTAAGTTAAGGGAACTATTAAAGTTGGCTATATGTCATCAGTCCTGCGCATATGAGCTCCTTAATCAAGATTCTTCATCAGCCACTCAAAATTAATTTCACTACCAAGTGCTATTCAGTAGCAGCTTAGAACTAAAGTCTATCCTGAATGCATCTCAATTGGAAGCTACAATGTCCATTGTTGAGAATCTTGAGATAGCTAGCAGCAAGGCACATGCAATCCAGGTTAAAGTTAAGTTCCATTCCAAAATATTTATTACATAGCCAAACAAAAAATGTAGCGAGCAGTGTAGGGCCCTGAGTTGACACGGTTTCCGAATGATCACCAAGAGGTAGATATGCGCATATGCCTAACAGCATCGCTGACAGATTAATTGGATAAGCATTGGCATTTTGAGCTATGTCTGGAATTTCACATTTCTATTACATGTAACGATAATAATAACTCTACACAAACCACCACTCGCCAGAAACTAATGAGAGGCAATCAGTACAAATGAAAATCCCCAAGGGATTTCCAGAGCATCATTACCTTTTCAAAATTATAAATGAATAAATAGCATAGAACAAATGGAAGAAATATTCATGCCTGGCATTCAGGTTGACCGGTCCTTTCTGGAAACTCCCCCTTCATTCTTGCAGTGGCGAGAGCCTGTTGTACAATAATATCTATCAAATTCATCAAAGACACATCCTTGCAAGAGTAAGACATTTATGATAAAAAGAAAATATCAAAACAAAAGTACCAACTTGCAGTGGCGAGAGCCTGTTGTACAATAATATCTATCAAATTCATCAAAGACACATCCTTGCAAGAGTAAGACATTTATGATAAAAAGAAAATATCAAAACAAAAGTACCAAACACTTCCAAATTTGGGATGTAAAGCAATTACTGTACAGAACCCTATTTAAACACCAATTTGAATATCTCTTGTAATGAAAACTTATTCTGCTCATTTTCCTCATAATGATTTTCCATTGAGAGGCAAGACTTACTTTTGCAATGAAGTTGAAGTGGAGATTTGGCAATCTAGATAGCAATGTCAAATCATATCAAATAGAAACAAAAAAAAAATGGGTAGAAGAGAAAATTTGGCTTGTAAGAGTGAGGTGGAGGAAATAATTCAGAAACCGTTGCTGAAAAATACAACTTCTTATAAAAGAGTTTACATCCCAAAGCATTTGTATGCAACAACATTGACACGATGATGATGAAACAAACCCTTAAGTCTCTAATTAAGGAAACCAAATCTAACCCCTGACTTTAGGCATCATGATTTTGTCCCAGCAGTATCTACACAGAAATCTTCATAAAGTTATTCATGCGATCTTGTTAAGAACCCTTTTTCATTAACCTACATGCTAGCATGCCTATGATATCAGCGTAAACAAAACGGAGCAGCAAGAATCTGAAGACAGCAGAAAGTAAGAGACAAGAACAGTCAAAGATTTGCAAGTAGCATGTTATGTTTCTACACAGTGGGTGCCAGAACTTACTAGCTTTCTATTAGAAGGATGATTGAAGCGGCATGTCGAACCAAATCTACAAAGTCCTGTTCTGAGAAAAAAGGAACAATCTGGTTCCCCTTCACGCTCAGGATAGGGACCAGGAGGATAAATTCCAGTATCCAATGCTTCAGAAGATCGCATATTTACAGGCCACATTGAATCTGAAATATCAATGTTATTCATATAAGAAATACGAGTACAACACAACTCTTTTGCCATTTGACAACAAGAAACAAGTTAATTTAGTAAAAACTTTCACAAATCTAAGCTATACACAGAACCTAAATCCCAAATTGCGAATGGGGGACAACGAAAGTAACACTCAATGTACATATTTCACATGGAATCCTAAACAAACATTCCACCTTTAAACCATCATGAGAAGACATACACTGTCAAAATCCGTAACACTCGAGCTAATCATGATAAACCAGACACATCCAAAGCATCCAACACAAACACATCAAGTTTTAAATGTTAATTCTATTACGTTTATAGGATTATACGGAGTAATTCGCGCCCAACACTAATATCGATAGAAATTGTTGATTAAGGTCTTCTTCAAGATAAATAGTTATGATCAAAAAGGACAAACCCATTTACATTTACAAACCAAGAAATGTTATGTTATCAAAAATGTCATCCACATTTATCAAAAGTACTACAATTTTAGTGACTCATATTCCATAAAGCATATCAAGTGGCTTCAATTCTCCGCAACCCCCAAAAATTAAATAAAGCAAAAAAAAAAAAAAAAATGCCCATTTTTCCAATCATTTTTCCCAATTATTCAATTTTGGAAAACATACATTATTAAACCCATTTACCCAATTTTACTACCGATCAAACCCAATTCCCCAACCTACTTATCAAATAAATTAAAATTAATATTATAAATATAAAAAACAAAATGCCGATTAACCCAATGATTGAATTATGTAAGAGTTATAACAAGGAACCAAAATTCTCAATTTCACATTTTTTTAAAATAAAAAAACTAAAACACATGAAAAAAAAGGGGGTTCACACTAAAATTATCCGATCAAAACCAAATGAAAAAAAAAATTAAAAAACCCCAGAAAATACATATGAAGAATTCCCATAAATTAAAGAACAATTATAAATAACAATCACCAATAATATAATACAGCATTTGACAAACTCCCAGAAAAAATTAAGAATTATAAAAAATAAAAATAAAAATAAAAAAAAAAAAAAAAAAAAAAAAAAAAAACCTTCATCTAAAAGAGAGGATGATCCAGAATTAACAGCAACAGCAGAAGGTCTAGAAATGGGGATTACAGCTCCATCATCATCATCATCATCAACAACAACACTAACTTCTCGAAACGCCATCGTTTTAACACTAACTCCATTCAATTCTTCATCATCATCATCAACAACACTACTGCTATTTACTTCTTCTTCCTTCTTTTTCAATACAAAATCTCATTATTTTATTAACGTATAAATGTCAATTTATTTAATAATTAAAACCCCAACAAATATAAAATTAAATTAAAAAGAAAAAAAAAGGGGGAGAAGAAAAAGAGGAGAGAGAAAGTTGTTTGGGAAAAAAGGAAAGTGGGGGAAAAATCTAGTTCTCTCTCCTCCACAAAATACAGAGTGTAGGAAAAAAAAGAAGAGGAAGAATAAAAACCAACCATTTTTTTTCCTATACAACTATATTTTCTATTTTCTTTTTTTTTTAATTATTATTATTATTATTTGTTTTAATATTTGAAGAAGAAATTAAATTTTTGGTGTTTTTTACCTGTGTAAAAAACGGTTATTTGACGCGCGTGAGTAAGTGAGTGTGACGTACGCGCTTTGTAATGGTAGAGGGTAGAGTGTACTTTTATTGTAAGGACGCGTTTGGTTGACGGTCGACATCCTTTTTTAAATCATTGTGCACTTGTTTTTTTTTACTCGTGTAACACAAAGGTTTGTAGAATATTGAATACACTTCCTAAAAAGGAAGTATTTTAGTGAGAATTTATTGGTTAATATGGTGAGTAAATGAATGTTTATTGCTCGTATAACTAGCTATTTAAGGTTGATTATATTCGGTAATGTTGTGTGTAAGAAATTAGGATTCATAACTGGATTTTGTTTTGCGTTGTGGTAGAGTGATAATGTAGGTTATGTTGTGTTTTGTGTCATCTATTGGATATGTAAGGTAATTATCTGCATGTTGTATAACTCGTGTTTGTACTTTGTAGCAATTGAGTGTATACTTGTTTATTTTTGTGAAACTACGTTTTAAGTAAGATATACTATCACTACAACCGTCATTACTGTTTCGAGATTTGTACTTTTTGATTATGAATTAAGTTCAAAATGAGAAACCTTTTTCATATTTATTACTTAATGAATCTGAAAGGTAGCACAATTAATACTAACTACGAATTCATGTTTGATCTATAACTTATTGTTTTACCATTCTGACATTTTTAAACTCTAATGAAGCATTAAGTCAGGAAACTGAGTCTGAAGTTGGCAGTTACTTAGCTACGGAGCACTTATGCAATGGCTCCTATTTGTAAAAAAGAATTTCCGGTTAATCCTATCTCAAAAAAAAAAAAAAAATCAATGGCGAAATTCTATTTTTGCATTACATCCACGAAATATAAAGATCGGAGTGTTTTTTTTTTAATCTCATGAAAAATTAAATCGTATATAGTTACTCTAAAATCTACTCAACCAATCAAAAGTTTGAAGTGCAAGAAGGTATACTAATACCACCATTAGTTTCCATACAATCACTTGGAGAATTATCGAGAGTAAGATAGATTTATGTTTCTTTGACTACTAGTCCCTTTTCAATCACCAATGTCAAGAGGTAAAACAAGGATTGTATTTGATGGCAAGTTATGATAATAGTCACTTTCATTCTCCTATAAAAGTTGTACCACTTCAATTCCACTCATATATAGTCACAATGTATTTCCTTCGATATTTCATATATTTGATTTAGACATAGGTTCTTTTCCCTCGACTAAAAGTCAATGTACTCTTTATCGGTTTTTCACTTAATTTATATGCTTTTACCGTTTTAAAAAAGCTGCAATACTTTGACTTTAAACGTGAGAGCTCGCTGTGAACAACTGTTACAATTTTTTAAAAACAAACAAAGTATTTTCCTATATGATTAACTAGGTTAAATCCCGTGCCATGCACGGTCATAATTAAACTTTACAACAAAATTTATAAAGAATGGTGTTAATTCAACAAATTTATCCAAAAAAAAAAAATATTTGTAACAAAATAATGGTCTCTAATTAAAGATATTGATGGTCAAAATTGTGTCTCAACAAATGTGCAAATCCAACCATAACTTATAAAAAAACGGAGGAGTATAATATAATAAAATGATTTTGTTAAGTTGTTCTTATAAACATTATGTGTATTTGTAAGATTTATACAACCAAAACTAATATTCCTATTTTTAATTAAAATAAATTTTAAGTCGGAGGAAAAAAAATTTATGATAATTTTGGATGATGATATATGTCAATACCTTAATTTTATACTATGTTAGTATATTTGTAACTAAAAGATTTATAGTATATAAAATATATGTTGAAAAATAATAATAAAAAAAAATTAATTGAGTATGATTGGATTAAATGTGTTGTCAAAATGGAAATAAGTAGTATTATGGTAGGTTATAAAATGAAAGTTATTAAAATTTGGCAAAAAAAAAAAAAAGGAAAGAAAAAAAGGCGGGAAAATTTTTTATAACATCGTGACAAGTATCACTTTAAGTTTGCTTTTAGTATAGGTTAATTGATTGGGAACTTTCAAGCTCTTTTAGAGCAAGAGTAAAGCGAAGAGAGCTCAGGGAGGAAAGTTTATCTAAAGTTAGTAGCTCTTATACGAAGTATTACTTTTCTAAACTTATTATTACATATTATCTTATACTCGTATTAAGGGTATGTCTTGATTTACTGAAAACAATTGAATTGAACTGATTGGGGCTGAAATGAATTATATATGAAAAAATAAAATTAGAAACTAAACTGAAATGAATTAATTAGAGTAGAAATGAAGTAAAGTGAACTGAACTGAAATTAAGCTGAATAAAACAGGCCTAAGGGCCTGTTCTTATTAGTTTCAGTTCAGTTCAGCTCAGTTCAGTTCAATTTAACTCCTAATTTTCTTCTCTTATAAAATATTCTTTTCAGTTCAGTTTAATTCAACTGATTTCAGTCTATTAGAACAGACTCTAAGAGGCTGTTTAGTTCACCTGATTTTAGCTAATTTGATCTGATTTGAACTTATTTTTTCTGATCTGATCTGATCTGAACTTATTTTTTTTGATCTGATCTGAACTTATTTTTTCTGATCTGATCTGATCTGAACTTATTTTTTTTGATCTGATCTGAACTTAATTTTTCTGATTTGACCTTATTTTAATTATTTCAATATTCTACTTTTAATTTTAATTATTATTAATGTTTAATTATTATTATTGTTATTATTATTATTATATTATTATTATTATTATATTATTATTATATGATATTATATTATTATTATTATATGATATTATTATTATTATTATTATTATTATTATATTATATTGTATTATATTATTATTATATTATATTATATTATTATTACTATTATTATTACTATTATATTATATTATATTATTATTACTATCATATTATATTATATTATTATTATTAAATAATAATAATAATATCATTATTGTTAATTGAATTCTTTTTAAAATTTCAAAAGGTGAGATTGTTACTGGAAGATAGGAGCAAAGGTGGGATTATTAGATTTCATTTTCCTTTTTTTATTTAAGCTTTTATATTTAACTTGTTTAGGGTGTTTAAGTGTTTTTTTATTCATTTGTTCCTCTATTGAACCTTTTTTTTTATATACAGAAAAATACTCTACCGAGTTGGAACCTCTCATAGGTTCTTCCGACCCATGTTAGCGCTAGGCTCCTCTATTGAAACTTGGAAGACATGATTTGGGTCACGCACGAATTACACTCCGTAAGTAAATTAAAAGTGCAAAAAAAAAAAATTAAAATGATACTCGTACAAAATAGATTGGTACTACATTTTTTAATGTTGTTTCATGCATGAGTTGTTTGCACTATATTGGTGTAACACGGTTACACACACTATTGCCCGAAATTATTGACTTTTTACAAATTACAATGAGTTGATCAAATAATAGACTAACTCACTCTTAGTTGTTTCAAATCAAGTTAGTTTTTAACATCACTTGTTTAAAACATATAATCATATTATATAATTAACCATTAACTAGATTATGGTGTGAATGATACTCCAAAAGTATCACAATAAGCTATAGAACATCTATTTTTATAAAATATAAAATAATTTATTTGTGAAATTCCAAAAGTAGAAAATGTGTCCGATTGAAAATTAAAATGCCCAAATAACCAAAATAACTTTGTCGTTAGTCTATGGCATTTAGGGCTGGCTTTCTGTAGTGAAAGAAATACTAATCTTATAAAAGAAATTACTACTCATAAGGTCAGAACCCATAAAAATGTGGACTGTTTGGTTGAGTTTAGAAAAGGCGTGGAATCACTGGAATTGAGTGATAAAGGTTTGGAATAGTGTGAAAATTAAAATTGGTAAAATTGTATGTAGTATAAGAGTTGAAGTGTTGAACTATAGAGTAGAGAATTGTAAGACCAAATTGCAAAACTAAAACTAAGAACACGTACTCTACAAATCAAACAACTCCATAAACTTGAAATCATCATTACCACCCTAATGAAGAAATATTATAGAAAAAATACAGCAGATGTAGCTACGAAATTCGTGTCGCTAGGGTTCATATAAACAAGTTAAAAAAGAAACATTTACATTTTTTCATTCATTAAGATCAAACGCGAGATTTCTACTCGTAAAATTTGTACATATCAATTTCACTAGTATCGATGGTTTAGTCACTGAGGAATCAATTCTGAACATGTATGTATGTTCAAAGAATCAAAGATGATAGCATTATTCAATGATCACAACATAATAAATGTGGTCAATTTTAGGGCAGAAAACACACAAGTACCCATAAATGTAACTGTACGTACTGTTAATTTTTTTGGTCACCCTGGGCTATTGCTTGCAGACCAAGGTTAAGGCTAAAAATGCGTAAATTATAAGCAACAGTCATGAAATTTACGACTCTTCAGTCTTCACTGTTTAAACTTATTCAGGCAAAGAGTTCTATCACCACTCTGACCACCTTATTTTCTCACTTAGTCAACCCATAGAGAGAGTGATAATGGGTCAATTTTGGTCTCTTTTCCAAAATATTTAAGATTTTTTGATGCAATAGTAACAAATAAATAAATAGATAAATAAACGATGGGATTGTATGTTATTCGAGTAAATCAAGTCCGAATATGACCACTTACACGCATATATGTTTTTAACTTCAAGTAAGGTAAGGAAAACGATTCATAATTAACCTTATTTTCAGCTATATAAGTTTAGCTTTTCAATTCATGTAGCAAATGCAGCATATAAATGATTTTTATTTTAATTAACCTTTTGGATTCATTTAATTATTTTTTTACTTTGTTTTATGTTCTTTAATTTTTCACTTTTTCAGATTTTGACCTTGCTTTTTTTTTTTCCCATAACAACTGTCTCACACTTTCTCTCTCCTCTCTGTTTTTTGTGCTTACTTTACACTCTTCACCATTGTTGCTACTCTTCACCATTTTTTTTTTTATTTTGAATTACTTTTTCTGTAATCTGAATTGGGTTTCTCGGTACTGTAATTTTACTGTCAGTCAATTCTAGAAATTTGAATTGGGTGATAAAAATATTAATTGGGAGTATTGGTAGTTTGGTACTACAGTTTTTTTTTGTGTATATATATATTTTTTCGTATTGCAATATCTCTTACCTACAACACATCAATCTCTCCCAAATTTTGTCCTTCTGTTGGTCATTGTAGTAGCTTGCTCGTATACAATCTCGTCGACAGGTAAATACCTTAACTCTTTGTTATTTTTTTTATTATATTTTCATAATTTCATCTACAATCATCACTTCATCTGTTGGGCGTCTATAGTATACAGTTGAATAATTTCAGAATTTATTTTACATACATACGAAGTATACATTTGGGAGCTTATAATGGTTCATTTGTCTGGATTTATAGTATACAGTTGAATAATTTCAGAATTTATTTCAGCACTCTATTGCAACAATTGAGTTGTACTTTAAACAAGTACTGGAAGCAATGGTTCATTTGTCTACCGAGATCATAAGACCATACCAAAGTTTGACCGTGGTGCCAAAAAAAATAGGTGACAGCACAAAATATTGGCCATATTTCAAGGTATTAAGAAACATTATTATTATCTTGCATTGTCATTATATTATTTTATGCATATGCAATATATAATCACTTATAAAATGTATCCTAAATGTTAATGAACTATTAGGATTGTGTTGGAGCATTGGATGGGACTCATATAAATGCAGTTGTAAGCGATGATGATGGTGTGGCACACCGAGGGCGTAAAGGAAAAAAAACATGGAATGTTTTGGATGCTTGTTCCTTTGATAGGCTTTTCACGTTTATCAACGTTGGATTTGAAGGTAGTGCTCATGATATTACTGTATGGAACCATTGCTTAACTGTACCAGAATTTCGATTTCCCCATCCACCTCCAGGTATAATTTAAAATAGTGTATGTTTTTACTCCATACATGACACTATACTAATATGCTGTATAATTTTATTTTGTAACAGGAAAATATTATCTAGTAGATTCTGGATATCCGAATACCGTTGGATATCTGAGTCCAATAAAAGAAAAAGATATTAGAACCCATTTGCCTGAATTTCGAAATGGTCCACCACCACAAGGCATGCTTGAACTTTTTAATTATCTTCACTCTTCACTTCGAACAACGATCGAGAGATGTTTTGGACAATTAAAAGGTCGATGGAAAATATTGACAATGATGCCACAAATGGACACTAAACATCAATTGGCAATTATGGTTGCTACATTCACACTTCACAATTTTATTCGATTACATGAGTTGGATATACCCATTGATAGTGGTATAGAAATCGAACCAAGAGCAGATTATGATTTGTTTAACGAGAATCGTAAAGCTGTAATGAAAGAAGTACAACTTAATATAGCGAAGGAAATTTGGAACGTCTTGAAATGAAAATTATATTTGTAAACGTTTATGATTTGGAGGCATTGGAGCTTATAATGAAATTTTAATTATTATCGTTTATTGTTTGTGCTATTTAATAACATAGACAATGTTGCTAGTTCAAACAAACGATAAAATCAAATCCGATACATCATAAATCAATAATAATAATAATAATAATAATAATAATAATAAATAATAATAATAATAATAATAATAAAATAATAATAATAATAATAATAATAATAATAATAATAATAATAATAATAATAATAAATAATAATAATAATAAAATAATAATAATAATAATAATAATAATAATAATAATAATAATAATAATAATAATAATTTGATCTGAACTTATTTTTTCTGATCTGATCTGATCTGAACTTATTTTTTCTGATCTGATCTGATCTGAACTTATTTTTTCTGATCTGATCTGATCTGAACTTATTTTTTCTGAAATAAATAAAAATAAGGTGAACTAAACAAGGCCTAAGTAAAGGCAAGGAGACAAGAACAAAGCCTTATTAGGTGTGAAGAGAAACAAAGCCTAACGCTGAAATAGAATAGTAGAATAGATACGATTAATAATTTAATAGTGTGTGTTGGGGAGACAAAAGGTCCTCTTTAAAACAAACGTACAAATGACTGAATTTGATTAACGACACTTTGCGTATAATACAGTACTTTTATTACTTTTTAAGGTTGACGTTTACACTTAATCATGCTTAAGCTTAACCAGGACACGTGGACACTTGTAATGGCGTTTGCAATATTTTCTTTTTTATAATTAAAAATTAAAATAGAGAATATAAGGGACTGTTTGAACCAGGTACCGGGGATATCGGACCTCATTCGCAAAATCTACTCTTTTTTTTTTTTTTTTTTTTTTTTTACAGGTGTCTCCTGTTTTCATGATATTCTTATTATCTAATAATAAGATCATGTGTCTAAATGTTAGTGCTCATTATTTTATTTTTTTTATAGGTCACTAAAAGTTCTAGAACTGATAAATTTATAATTTTACTTGGCTAGAAAATCATTGACTGCATTTTATCAGATTCTGAGAGTGACATTTTAACAGAAGGTAATCAACTTTTTAATAGGAAAAAGGTTAGTGCTCATTATTTTTGACTGCATTAAATACCTATGTAGCCTTGATTATATTGGTTTAATTCCAAAATAGTGGTTCAATCTTTGGTTAAGTAGAATTATGATTAGGTGACTCACTAATTAAATTGAATTTTCTCTTGATAAATCATAATTATTAAACGAACAAATTTTAGCACAGGTAGTTTTTGGCAATAGGAAAAATTTGTTGTGTATTGTATAAAAAAATAGGAAAATTTTGTTGTGTATTGTAATTACCTTTCGAAATGAGAAAGTTACCATTATAAAAATACTTAATATCTGTGAGAGTGTAGTGATCTTGAAATAGAAATATATTCAGTATAATATTAGTGAGTTCAAATTATATCCAAATGAAAAAAGAAAAAAAAAACAACAAATTTGAAATTATTGCTCTGTTGTCCATATTTGTTTTCAAAACCATTTTTTATAATTCAATTACCGCCCGACCAGACCGTATAAAGTTGTTTCATACCAATAACCTAATTAATACCCATCACGTCATTTTCATGCTAGCACCCTGATCGAGTAACAATGTGATATCATGTGATAACTCGTGATAATCAGATAATACATGCAGTTGGAGATCAAATATATTCCACACATATTAATGCTCTTTTTGGAACTCTTTTCAAATGAACAACCATACAACAATTCACAAGTCAATCAAAGAATTTACATAGCTGACAAATAGTCACAAACTAAAGAATCATTATTAGCATAATAACAGCTACGCGCAGATTCATAAACATGGATTTATACGAGTAGGATTTGAAAAAAAAAATAATTAGTGGAAATTTGTTAATTAGCAAAGTTAAATAAGAATAACAAAAGGGGATTTAATTATATAGAAAAAAAAAAGATTCAATTTTTTTTTTTATCAATGTCATCATATGTCTTGGTTTGTGAATTACAAGTTTACAACATTTAAGTGTAACAAAAAGGGGAAAAGGAGAAGTATTGTTTGAACTAAAAGTGTAATTAAATATCCTTTTTGCTAGATTGACATAAAATTTCTTAAAAATATAAAATAAAATAAAACTCTTGAATGAATAAAAAAAATAAAAATTATTCCACTTTTGCAATTCATATTAGACGACTAAAACTTTAGGTAAAGTTTTTATCCCTATTCACTCAATTAATGTTGTACACTTTAAGGCAATAAAAACGTAATTATGAATATCTTAATTTATTATATAATTCACACCTCTGTTTATATTAGACTAAAGATGGCATTGTACTAGGTTGAGTTGATCTATGATACAATACGACACAGTAGGATACGAAGTACAACACTAGACACTACATATGCTTGCAGTTTTGGGCCAATTTAAAAAAGACACAGTGATATGAATCTGTATGATGCCACACATCATCGACAATGAAAATAAATAAAAGGAATTAGGTATCGCATGACGCGGCATGGTAACACGTATTCTCGGCCATGCTTGAACCATTTTGTTTTAAATTTTCCTACACGAGTACACAATACTTAGGGCCTGTTCTCATACGTTTATTTTTCAGTTTAGTTCAGCTCCTAATTTCCTTTTCTTATAAAATATTAATTTCAGTTCAGTTTAATTTAGTTGAGTTTAATTCAGTTGAGTTCATTTAGTGAGAACAGAACCTTAGTGAGCAGTTGTTGACCATGTTTTGTGGCATAAGACATATGGGTTTGACATAGTAGTGTATAAATCTACATATATAAAAATCACCAAAAAGAAAAGGAGAATAGTATTTTCTTAGGTGGATATCCCTTTAATCCCTATAACAAATTGACAAGTGGACAAGAATCAACTACCATATACTCTTGTTCTAATCATAATTGCATGAATTAATCAAATCGGTAATGACAAAATTAACACTAATAATGAGCTACTCCGTAGCTAATTGATGAGTACGAGCCTATTCTAAAACCCTTTCAATCCCTTTCTATTTTTTGACCAATGATGAAGTTGGAGACTTGAGCGGGAGAGTAAGCTTTATACTGTAGATTTTACTTCGCTTTCTATGCCCATTTTTGTAAAGCTTTACAAACAAATTACTATCTCAGTTATATATTGTTTGTAATGATTTGACATAAAATGGAGGAAAAAAATGTCTACTCATTGCAAATAGTATGAAACGGAGGATACTAGTAAAGAAGTTTTGGCTTTCAAGTTCATACAAGGTCCAAAGGGATCGGATAAGATTAGTTTCTTTGTGAACCCTTTTGTAGTAAAACTAATAGCAACGAGATTAGAATCTTTGAAATACTTAGTAACTAAGTTAGAACCTGTGCGATGCACAGTTTATATAAATCCTATTTTTAATTTGTATATTTTTAAAATAAATCGCTATTATACATGTATATAAATAAGAATTACATATATTTTGTAATTTTTTAAAAAATTATATTTTAATCAAAATTATGATATGGTATCTGTTCCACGTTGTCTAATTTATAGTTCAATGTAGGAGGTCATTTATTAGTGTGCTATTTAAAATTGTTTCAATTTCCTACGATAAATTGATAGGTTTTAATTGTAATGTAGAAGCTTTTAATATTTAAATTTCAAAAATGTTAAATATGATAGTTCTATAAAAAAAAAAAAAATTGAAAAAAAGAAAGAAAAAAATATGACATTATCATTGCATTCAGGCGGGAAAAATTTTATTAAGAAAGTGACACGTGGGCAATGGTGACGTCAACAAATTCTATTTTAGTAATAGTCAACAAATCTTGTGATACGGAGTATCCAACTGTGTTAAAGCGCCGAGTTAACTCAATTGTCGGCCATGGCTTAATCTCTCTCTCTCTCTTTCTCTCTCCTCGTTTTTTAATTCAACCCAGAAATTAGAGTGAGAAACTGCTTTTGTAACTCCACCCAAATCTCATTTTTAATTATTCGATCTTGTTTTCATCTCCCCTTTACGGTCAATTTACGCTAAATCAAACCCTAATTTTCTGATTCTTTCCCCATTTTTATCTTACGATTTTGGGGATATTCCTTTCAATTTCACATTTCCAACGAAGATCCTTGAAGATCTGATTTCTAATCATTTTTCAAATTCCCCCAATTTCCCTCTTCTTTTTGTAGATTTGGGGAAATGGGTTTCCGATTAAACCCTAGAAATAGGTATTTGACTTACCGATTTGCTGTTCTGTCGATTTTTTTCATTGGGTTGCTGCTTGCTTCTGCTATCTCAGCTCAGGTAATTAGTTTCTTGATCTGTGAACAATTTCAATATTCTAAAATTTCTGGGAATTTTGAGATCTTATGAAGTTGTATTAATTTTTCAGGAAAGTGGTGATGATGATCAGAATGAGAGGATTGGTGGATCAGTAAAGGATTTGGGACGGCGTAGTAAGGTTTGAGGAATGCATTGATTTGACTAGATTTCAGTGATTTGAACGAATGTAGTGTGATTTGGTGCTAGAATTTCTGATAATTTTTGTTCATTTCATTGATCTTGATGGGATTGGTTTATTCATAGAAGTTTGATGCATTGATTTATTTCTATTAATCATTTTAAAATTGGGTTCTAATTCTTCTGTAAATGCATTAATAGTCTGATAATGATGAACAGTTTAACACTACTTTTTTTAGTAATGCTGCTGAAGTGCTGAATTTTGGTTACATGGCCTAAATCAAGAACATGATTTGTGATAAATGAGTTATCCAAGTCTCTGAGATGCAACGATAGTTATTTAGGAAGGGTTGGTTTATTCAGGGTTAGCTATATTGGAAGGGACACTTTATTCATTGATCTATGTACCATGCCTATGCAAGTGACAGGCATACCACAAGTTTGCAAATGTGCATTTGCCTTTAGCCTATGTAGTGCACTAAAAGCTCTATGAGGCAACATAGAAGATGATGAGTATTTTGTTTGTA